CATATGAGACTTTGTATAGACAAATGGTAGGAAGCTTGCTCTATCTAACTGCAACAAGACCGGACATTATGTTTGCAGCTAGTCTTTTGGCCAGATTCATGCACAATCCTACCAAGAAGCACATGGGAACAGCAAAAAGGGTGCTAAGATATATACAAGGTACTATAAGCGATGGCATTGCTTATGAGAAAGGAAAAGGAGCTGTGTTAATTGGCTATTGTGGCAGCGATTGGAGTGGTAGTGAAGATGATATGCGAAGCACATCAGGCTATGCATTTAACTTGGGGTCAGGAGTGTTTTCTTGGGCCTCAATTAAGCAGAGCAGTGTGGCTCTCTCCATTGCAGAGGCAGAATACATGAGCGCAGCAGAAGCAACTACTCAAGCTATTTGGCTCAAATTTGTGCCAGGTAGAACCAACTCAGTTGTTGTGTGACAACACTTCGGCTATTGCTATATCAAAGAATCTGGTTCATCACCACAAAACCAGACACATCAATCGCAGGTTTCACTTCATTCGAGATGCTCTTCAGAATGGTGAGATCGATTTGCTTTATTGCAAAACTGAAGAACAGGTTGCTGATATATTCACCAAGCCACTAGCAAGGGATCGGTATGAGTATCTAAGAAAGGCTTTAGGTGTTATCTCAGCACAACACTTAGAAGGGAGTGTTAGTTTATAAGTGCAGCTGCTGAGATAGATTTATTATTCTAAGTTTGAAAATGTAGCCGTTGGATAACAGTCCAACTGTGCAGCTAGGATGTAATAGTGTATGCCACGTGTCTCTATCTCATAGGGTGGTGAATGAATGGCTAAGATTTGAATGATGTAAGAGGAATATGCTATTCCTAACGGTTTTGTCAGAAGGCAATATACGTATGAATTGTTTGGAGCTGAGTTAGTATCCAGCTAGCTCTTCTTCTTCCCTAAGTTTTCTCTCTTGCTCTCTGATAGCTCTCATTTTCTCATCTAAGAGTCAAAATACAAGATAATGGTCTTGATATTCTAACAGTTATGGGTGCCACGGTTGCCCTTTGTTCGATCGCATTACCATCGAGGTGAATTCTTATAAGGACATGGTGGTCAGCTTTGTCAGCATTCTCAAACAGGTCGACGAGCTCAAGTTGCCCAAGACCTACCATTACCATCAGTTGCCAGCGCCATCTGTTCAGGTTTTACTTACTTTCAATGAAGTTGAGCTTATTCATGTGGGAAGTTTTTGGCATGATAGAGGAATTGAAATAATGAGCTTTGTTTGTTGTTTGTTGTAACGTAATGTAGTAACGGAATTAGTTTGATCATGCAGATTAGATTGTTGAAGATCTTGGCATTATTGGGGAGTGGTGATAAGCAATCGAGTGAGAAGATGTATATGGTAGTCAGCGATATTTTTAGGAAGTGCGATTCTACCAGTAATATGGGAAATGTTATACTTTATGAGTCTATTTGTTGCGTTTCTGCCATATATCCAAATCCTAAGTTGTTAGAACAGGCTGCTCAAGTCATCTCAAGATTTTTAAAGGTTTGAAGTTTTTGTATTTTTCAGTGTAATTTTCTGCAAATTATAGTCTGCATGTAGATTATTTG